GGAGCTGCTGCTGCTGGTGGAGGCTCCTGCCCTGAGCAGCTCCGGGCGTGCGCAGAGGGCTCCGATGTTCAGGGCTCTTTCCTGGGGTAAAACTCCCGTGGAGTGGGTACAGACACAGCCAGGTCTCCCTCAGCCCACAGGGTGGGACACAGTGGCCTGGCAGGGTTTGTCTGTGAGTGTGGCACCCACAGGGTGAGCTCTGCAGCGTGGGCAGGCAGTGCTGTGGGAGCAGCGACACCAGGAGCTGTGCCAAGGCATTTCTGAGTGGTCAGTGCTGGGATCTGCCACAAATGTGTGGCTGGGCTTTCTTTCCAGCCTCAAATCACTCAACCGGGCTCCAGCAAAGCTTTGATCCATTAACTAAACAAGCAGTGAGTTCTTTCCTGCTTTTTTAATACATAAATTTTGGTTTAGTTTGTTGGTGCTTTATGAGACAACACCAGGGACAGACTTGGCACTGGGAGAGAGTTTGAAAGTAACTTTGTCACCTTCTTAAATAATTGGTTATTCCTTCTTTTTTCCTGTTTCAGAGGAGTCTCTTCAGGATGTTCCAAATTTAAAGAAGCTGCTGCTGAAAGCTGTGACTCTCTTCATTGATGCAGCAGAGAGTTACTCCAAGGTAAAGTGAGATGGAATGGAACGATTTGTGGAGCACGTGAGGAGAACACCCTGAGGGCTCTGTGTCTCTGCAGCCCCCTGGCAGCACCAGCGTGGCTGCATCTCAGTGTGCTGTGCTGGCCCCTGCTCAGGTTTAACAAACTCTGAGTTACAGGTGTGTTCCCCACTGTCAGGGCAGGGACCAGGAGCTTAATGAGCAAGGGTAGAACAATGACAGTGTTTAAACCCAAGCGTAATTATGGTGGAAGTATTTGTGGGAATGAAGCTTTGTTTAATGCCGATGGAACATGGTGAATGTGAAGCTGCAGTGCTCTGTCAGTGCTTCAGGCCCTGCAGTGTCTGAGCTCTCTCAGGGATGCTCCCAGGCTCCTGGAAGCTCTCGGCTGCTCTGTTGCAGGACTCGTGTGTGCGGCAGGCGCTGCGCTGCCGCCGCCAGACGCGGCTCATCACGCTGCAGCTGCACTTCCTGGGCTCAGGGCAGAGCACCAGGATCATCAACCTGGGCAGGCAGGAGCTGCCAGGAGCCATCCTGGCCTTGCCCAGGTTCTACCAGGTGAGCTGGGCTCCCTCGGGGTCCTCCCGTGGGATGGAGGGACAGGACACAGGGAATGGCTTCCTGAGGGGCTTGGATGGGATAATGGGAGAGAATTGTTCCTGGGAGGGTGGGCAGGCCCTGGCACAGGTGCCCAGAGCAGCTGTGGCTGCCCCTGCATCCCTGGCGGGGCCCAGGGCCGGGCTGGATGAGGCTTGGGGCAGTCTGGGATGGTGGAAGGTGTCCCTGTTTAGAGGCTGAGGAAGGTTGTTCAGTGCTTTGTTGCCTGTATTTCTCTGCTGTGTTGGTTACCCTGTATCTCACAGCAGCAAGGGCTGGGTGGAACAGAAGCTCCCCAGTAGCAGTTCTCAGTGTGGAAGGTTCTGTGCCATCCCCTCCTGTCCCTGCTCTCCCTGCAGGCAGCCATCGTGGCCGAGGCCTACGAGTTCCTGCCGGACTGGGCTGAGGTTCTGTTCCAGCAGGTGATCACCAGGGGGGACTTTGTGTACCTGGAGGAGTTCCGGCAGCAGCGGCCGCTGCGGCCCGGCCTCTTCGAGGAGGTGGCCAAGAAGTGAGTGAGGCTCTGCAGCTCTGCCTGCACTGGGCCCCTGACAGGGGGGAAAGGGTTAAACTGTCCAACTGTTACGGATTTGAGACAGAACTCCAGAATGGTTTGGGTGGGAAGGGACCTTAAAGGCCATCCAGTGCCACCCCTGCCATGGCAGGGCCACCTTTCACTGTCCCAGGCTGCTCCAGCCCCATCCAGCCTGGCCTTGGGCATTCCAGGGATCCAGGGCAGCCCCAGCTGCTCTGGGCACCTGTGCCAGGGCTGCCCACCCTCCCAGGGAAGGATGTGTTGGTAGGCTTGGTTCCTGGTACAGCATGGAAGTCACTCTGATCCAGCCTCGTCCTTGAGCTGGACAAGGAGGGAGCTCAGGGCTGGGCAGAGCAAATCCTTAAAATGAATCAGAGCAAGTAAACAACCAGGAGATTCAAGTGGAGGTGTTGAGTATGACCTCTTGTTGAAATGTCATTCTAGCAGGCCCAGAGCAAGTCTCAGGGGCCTGGGGAGGTTCTGAGTGTCAGTTCATGTGCAATTGTTGCAGGGTCAAACAGCAGCACGCCCCTGCTGATGCTGCCCTGCGGAACCTGAAGCGGTTCCTCAGCCACTGTGAGGACATCTACACCTACTACAGGCTGGCCTACGACCACAAGTTCTACGACGTGGTGAACTCCCTGCTGAAGGACCCTCAGACTGGCTGCTGCCTCAACGACCTCTTATCCAGCTGAATCCCAGCCCGGAGCACAGGCTGCAGCTCACTGCTGATTCACACTGATTTATCCATGGCCTGCTCACAGGGCTCTGCTGCTCTGTAAAAATTACTCCAGAAAACTGAACAAGGTTGTAAGTAGCTAAATGCTGACTGTGTTAACCTAAAATTGTGTTTTGTATAATAAATCTTATTGTTTATAAATTACTTGAGTCACCACAAACACTGACTGGCCCAGGTGGGGGGTGAAGCAGAGATCCAGCAGCCCTTTAAATCAGGGGCAGGGGCGAGGGAGCAGCCCAGGAATTCAGCCCAGAGGCTGAAACAGGTGTGCAGAATGGCCAGGCAAAGGGGGTGGAAGAGCAGAATCAGTGCAGGTTTCAGGTATCCAACAGAATAATGCCTTCTTTGAGTCCAGTCTGATTTCCAGAATCTTGTACAGCTTTAAACAGCCCATTCCTAATTCTGCTGTCTTGGAGTAAAAGAAATAATCAAGTGCAAATGTATTTTTACAATTATTAAATATACATTCCTTTCCAGGCCCAAGCCATGGGCAGTCTCCCACCACACCTCAGCTTTGCAACTCTCCCTCTCCAGGTATTTTTCCTGTCAGGCCCCAAAAAGAACTGTGCTCCAAGGCCAGCCTGGTGAAGTCCTCAATAGTGATTTTTATTAAATTAGTTGCTTTATAAAACATTGCAGATGTTGTAATTGTTAACATAACAATTTGCCCAACTGTAGGAACTGCTGCAGTTTGCTAAGCAAGTTTGGTTTTTAATGAAAGAAAACGGCCGAGTTGTGAGAGACCCCACCACAACCCAGGAGAGCCCCAAGGAATTCATGTGGCTTGGTTTTTTCTTTTACACTTAACCCTTAATTAACTGTTAAAGAACACCCAACCCAGACAGCTGCATTAGTAGAAATTTAAATGACTGGAACTAAATAAACTTCATCCTTGAGACACAAGTGGGTTTTGCCTTGCTGTGCCCCAGCAGGTGCTGTTCAGGTGTCAGGCTCTGGAGCAGTGGCTGTCCCAGGGGACAGGCTCCCAGGTGCAGTATTCACACTGAAGTTAGCAGTTCCCTTCCCAAAATACTGAAATCCTCAAGCTCTAACTCAAGACAAAGCGACTGGAACTCTACGTGCACACCCTGCCCTTGCTGCAAACTGCTCTTGCTCAGCCCTGGCCCTGGAGCAGGGACAGTTAAGGCCATGTCATGGAGCTGTGCTGGTTATAATCCTTCACCTTGTTCCAATTCCTTCCCGATTTAGTGGCTGCTGCTATGAATAGCAGCAGTGCCCATTATCAGAATTTTGGGTTTTTAACTGCAATTTACAGACCTTTTCCGTTCTACCCCGCCCGGAACTTCCGCCCGGACCCGGCACCTCCAGCCCCCAGCACACGGATACTGCAATTCTGATTGTAGCATTTGGCAGAATTTAGAGGAAGAAAGGTTGTGCTACATGTTTAAGGGATTATGGGCAACAGAAAGACAACAGAAGGGAGATAAATGTCACATGAAGTCTTCAAAGTCTTGTACGTACTCGCCGTCGTAGCCGCCGTAGTCGGCCAGGTCGTCTTTCATCGTCGCCTTCAGCCCCCCGCCAGGCACAACACCTTTTTTCTTCTTTTTGGCTTTATTCTGTGCCAAGGGGACAAGGGTGGTTATTGCAGAGCCCAGAGCTCTGCCATGACCCCAGCCAGGCCCAGCCCAGTGGCACTGAGCAGCCACAGCCCCTGCACTGAGCGTGGCCCTGCCAATGGTTTCCAGCCCACGTTTTCTCTTCCTGGGAAAGCTGTGACAGTTCCAGGTGTCCCCAGCTCCCTGCACCACAGCCTGGCCCCCCTTTGCCTTTCATCCTATTTCCCCTGGACTCTCAACAAGTAACTAATAAATGCAGGGGAGCCCCAAGCAGGGGCTGTGATCTCTGAGGAACAGCCCCAGCCTTACCTTCTCTTGTTTTTGTTTTTCACTGCATAATACTGTCAGAGTGTTTGTGATCTTTTTCAAATCATCCACCTCCACTGCATCAGGGAAGAAAAAGGAAAAAAAAAAAAAGATTCCTTATCAATTTTGTTCTTATAAGGCAGTTAAGTAACATCCCCAGTCTCTAAAACTAGAAATCAGCATTAGTGTAACTATGGGCAATTACTTGATTTAAATCAGCAGAACACAGAGTGGGTGGTTCTGGTCCTTACAATCCCAACAAGGATTCCAGCTGGTTCCTTGGAAGCCTGAGCCTTGTCGAAGGTAAAACTTGCAAATAAAGTTACTGAACACAAGGGTCTTACAGAGACATTTGAACAGTAAAATATGGAGAGAGTAAAATACAGTCAAATGTATTAAAGGGAGCACTGGATTAACAATAAATTATTCTGTTTATCAATAAATGGTGCGAGAGGCTGGCAGTCCCTCCTGTTAGGAGCTCTGAAGCCCTGAGATGGAAGCTGCCAGCTGGGATGGTGGATGCAGCCAGCTCCTCCTGGGATCGAGTTACCCCTCACTGAAGGACAACTGGGCACAGGACAGGGAGCCATCCCAGCCACCAGGGCACTGGGAATAGGAGTTTAAATTACTTCATCTCTGTAGAGTTACATGCTCAATTCCAGAACAGTTAATCTGCAGTTCCAGAATTACATGAACTTGATTTTGTAATAGTTTCCCTCTAAATGAGGTACTCAAATTATCTGCCTCAGAGAATTTACTCTTATTATTTCAGAAATGGCTTCAAGAAAAACATGCAGGGTTTAGATCAGCATAAAAATTCACACATTTAAGAAAACTGTCTCTAACCAATGTGCAGAAAGAGCACTTTTGCACGAGGAGAGGATCCTAGGTGGAGTCTGTGGGAATGGAATCAGGTCAGTGCCTCCTTTAGCCCAAACTCACAGAGCAGTCCCCTCTGAGCACTATCACAGCACGTTTTCCACTCCAGCTGCAGCCAGCTCTGGCAGCAGAGCTGGGCTGTCTGCACTTACAGGAAATACAGACGTCCCGAAGCAGCGCTTCCAAAAAGCCGGCGTAATGTAGGGACTTCTCGTACTGTGTGATCTTCTCCTTGAGCAGCTTCCCAAATTCCGTGAAGTCATCTTTAGAAGAGGGGTTCATGGCATCTATTCCACAAGTGCTATTTACACCTGCAGGGCAGGCAGGGGTGTTACAGAGACCATGAGCTGTGAGCCCTGGAAGGGGGCTGGCTCCCACCTCCCTGAGCTCTGCTCCCCCACAGCCACAGTGGTCCCTGCCCTCACAGAAGGAAGGAAGTTTACTGCAAAACTCAGGAATTTCATAGAATCCCTGAATGGTCTGGGTTGGAAGGGTTAAATCCCATCCAGTGCCACCCTGACAGGGCAGGGACACCTTCCACTGTCCCAGGTTGCTCCAAGTCCAGCCAGCCTGATCTTGGGCACTGCCAGGGCAGCTCCAGCTGCTCTGGGCACCCTGTGCCAGGGCCTGCCCACCCTCACAAGGAACAATTCCTGCCCAATATCCCACCTAACACTGCCCTTTGCCAGTGGAAGGCCATTCCCCCCTTGTTCTGTCACTCCAGGCCCTTGTCCAAAGTCTCTGCCCAACAATTTCTGAAGCTGAGTCAAACTCAGTAATTTGACCCAGCTATTCCTGTTCTCTGGACAACCTGCACCAGGAAAGGAAGCCCTTTTCCCTCAAATAAACAATTCCTGCCTCAGCCTCCTGAGTGCAGAACTCAGCTGGTTCTTCACAGCTGTGCACACCCCCCAAGCTCTGTGACAACCTCCCCTGAGCAATGAGCTGAATCATTCACCATAATTAAGGAAACTCTTCCAGTTTGAGGAATGCTGCTGTGCATCAGCATCTTTGCTGCTTCTTTGTTCTCAGTGCCACAACTCTGCGTGCTGAGAGCCAAACCCTGCCCATGCTTTGCAGGGTCCCAGGGGTTTATTTATTTCCTGCTGCTTTAACTCACCGAAGGTTTCCTTTGCCAACTCCAGGTCTGACTCCTCTTGCAACTTCTTTAGCCGTAGTTTGTCTGCCAACTGTTCTTCTGGTGTGAGCTCCTTCTGTTCCTCGGGTGCCTCTAACTGCAGGGAGGGCACACAGAGAAGGTGGCACGTTAAAGACATGGTGCCTTCTCCAGAGCCACTGCATCACCCGCTGCTGCCTCGACTCAGGGCACATGGAAAACCTGGGACCCGCTCCCTGCAGTCCCAATAAACTGTTCATTTCACAAGGAACGGGAAGAGACACCAAACTCCCACTCCTGCCTGTTCCATCACTGCTGCACACAAAGGAACTGGGATAACACTGATCCAATCACTGGTTAAACTATGCAGGAATTAAAGCTCCCAGCCCCAGATGGGATCACGTACAAGACCTAAGTTTGGTTTATCAGATGAGTCAAGACCTTTTCACATCTTGCTCAACCTCCAAAAAACCAAATCAAACCCGCCCTCTGAATTTTATGTGACCCAGAAGAAATCAGGAGTTACCCTTTTTTTAAGCTCCTCTTGCTTTTTCTTTTGTAGCTTTTCTTTTTCTTTGATTTTTTCTGCTATTTTCTTTTTTTCTGAAACTTTCGGTTCTGTAAAGAGTGGAATAACAAACACAGCTCTCAGAAATCTGATGATTTTTTTCACCCCACAACCACAGAAACACTGGAAGCTCAGCTCCTGGGAGCGAGCAGAGAGTTACAGACATTTCTGTTAAACCCAGCCCCGCTCAGGTTCGATCCTCACACACCCCAGACACCAGCAGTGTCTGTTCTCATGCTGATACAGAGCCAGGGGTTATCTTCAAGTCTCACCTTGTTTTACCTCTGTCTCCTTCACCTCCTCCTCTTCCTCCTCATCATCCCAGTTATCCTGCAAAACAGTGAAGATCCTTTTACAGACACCTGTCACCTCTTCCAGAGCCCACAAACCCACTGATCTGGTATCAGAATGAGGGAGCTATGGGAGCTGTATCTCAGGGGTTTTTGGAGCTGTCCACCCTGGTTGGGGCCAGTTCTTACCATGAAAACAGCAGATTTTGGTCAAACAACCATCTTGTGTCAGTCATGACAACAGCCAGGTCACAAACAGGACTTTACTCTCATTTCTGGCATTTTGAGACACTGAACATCCCTGAGGGATGGGTGCAGCACAGCCCTGCTGGAAGCCCCCAGCCCAGCTGAAACCCCATCAGAGCAGCACAGGCTGTTCTGTCCCACAGCACCAGGGCCCCTCTCCTGGGCTGGGAAAAGCTTCCCATGGCTGCAGGGATTTTCTGGGAGGCCCCAGCAGAGGCAGTGGTGCAGAGCCCCACGCTGCACCGGGATGTGCTGATCCCAGCAAGGAGACACCGAGTCCTTCCACAGCTCACCCCGGATAATTGGCACCTGCAGGGGACTCGGCTTCCCTGCCACATTCCATGGAGCTGACTTGAATTTGGAGCAGCATTATTTTAGCTCACATCTAATTAACTGTGCTACACCCACTGCTTAAACAGCTCCACTCAGCACCGAGGAGCTGCCTCGGCCCCAGCCTGGCCAGGCTGAGAGTCAGATGCAAACTGCAGAGGAAGGGCAGCCTGGCCATGAGGGATTCATCCGTGGCACTGCCATGTCTGGGACACTTCACAGAGGGCACGTGGGCAAGGACTCTATGCCATGAGATGTGCCCCAAACCCATCCTGACAGCCAGGCCTGGTTTGCAAACCCAGGGAATACCAAATCCTGCCAGCCTTGCCTGGTTTATAAACCCAGGGAATACCAAGTCCTGCCAGCCTTGCCTGGTTTATAAACCCAGGGAATACCAAGTCCTGCCAGCCTTGCCTGGTTTATAAACCCAGGGAATACCAAGTCCTGCCAGCCTTGCCTGGTTTATAAACCCAGGGAATTCCAAATCCTGCCAGCCAGGCCTGGTTTACAAACTCCAGGGAGCTCTCTTGGAGGAAGAGCCAACTGCCCCAGTGCAGTGTCCTTGCAGTGATACAGTAATTCCCAGAGAACACATTCATTCCCCAGTATTTCAACACTGTTTCTGTGTCCTTCACTGCCCCAGAACATCCTCCCTGTGGCTGGGACTGGGCACTGGCTCCCAGCTCCAGCCCAGCTCTGGGATGGAGCAGGCACTGCCCTGCTCTGGCTGTGCCAGCCCTGAGTCAATAGATGAAAATTCCTGGCAGCAGGCCTGACTTCTGGGGAACATGTGCTGGGGAACACTGAGAGGAGTTTTGTTACCAAAGGTGCTAATTTTAAACCCGGGAAGTTGACGTTTCCCGAATTAACACTTACTGCAAGTTCACTACTTAAAAACCCTCCAAAACACAGATCTGCAGATACAAAGCACATTCCACAATGTGAGATGCCTTAGGAAAGCCATGGCCAGAAAACACTTTGTGTGCTGCCACTTTAGACCACGTCATCTCCCTCACATGGGGATTTCCCCATGTGGGCCCTCACACTGAGGGATCCAGAGACTGAGCAGGGGCCTTTGGAGTCTGGCAGGAAGAGCAAACCAAAGGAAAACAAACCAAAATAAACCACCTTTCTTTGCTGGATCCTCTCTTGATGCAGCTCTGGCACTAAACCCATAATCCCTTGGAAATAGTTAAGCAACTGCATTAAACTACATGTGAGATGTAAAATGTCTTCCCAGTGCCAGAGGGCAGGGATGGATGAGATATTGGGAAGGGACTGTTCCCTGGCAGGGTGGGGAGAGGCTGGGATGGAACTCCCAGAGCAGCTGGGGCTGCCCCTGGATCCCTGGCAGTGCCCAAGGCTGGGCTGGACAGGGTTTAGAGCAGTGGAAGGTGTCCCTGCCACGGCAAGGGTGGCGCTGGATGGGGTTTAAGGTCCCCTCCGACCCAAACCATTCTGGGATTCCACGTGGGGAATGTTTGCTCCTTTATTAAACAGACAGAGACCCCTCAGGTGGTTCCTGGAGAACCTCTCTGGTCCAGCTCTCCTGGACACATTCTATCCAGCAGGAAAGCTTCTCACTTCCTAAGGAGGAAAAGCAAATGTCTGATCTACAGGTGTCTGTACACACCTGTCAGTCACACACACCCGTGTCAATCACACACACCTGTGTCAGTCACACACACCTGTGTCAGTCACACACACCTGTGCCACTTCCACGCTGCCCACACTCATTCCCAGTGCCTGGGGCTGCTGTGCACACACCTGTCCTTGTCCTGCTGCTCTAATGTCACACCTGGGACACTGGGCTGGGGCTACTACTCCATTTAAGAAGATAAGTTACACACAGAATCACAGAAATCTGGTAACTTCAGGGTTTTTAAAAGATGAACTACTTTTTCCATACAGTTTATGGGAAGAACTCCACCTGAGCCCCAATAAAAACTGCTGGTGCTTTTCAGAGATTCTGGTAACAGTGTCCCCAAAACCAACCCTGAGTCCTCACCCAGTGTTACAATGTCCCAGGGCTGGAGGAAACAAAAAGGTCTTTTGTAATTGCCTCATTCCACTGACAGAACCCCGGGATGGTTTGGGTCCACAGGGACCTCAGAGACCCCCCAGTGCTACTTTCTACTGTGAGCAGGGACACCTTCCACGGTCCCAGGCTGCTCCCAGCCCTGTCCAGCCTGGCCTTGAAACCCATCTGGTGCGCTCCTTGTGCATTCCCTGGCAGCCCTTAGCACTATCCACATGAATATGGAGGCAGCAGCAAACAGCCTTTGAGGGAGCTCTGCCTGCACAAGCACCAGCAATGATCATCCACACGTTTTATCCCACTGCCGTGCAGACACCACGCTGAAACACGGCAAGATCCCGCCTCGTGGCGCGTGGAGAAGCAGGAAAATCGGGTGGAAAAGACGTGCTGGCAGAGCACAGAAGCTTCTGGTGAGCAGCAGAAGCACCAACACAGCAGAGCCGTCATTAAGCCCGTCCCGGCGCCTCTCCAGCGCACCCCNCAAACAAACAGCAAGGATCAGGGTCCTGTGTAGCAGCACCCCAGGGACACCAATGCTCCAGCAGCTCCCAGCCTGAGCAGCTCAGAGGGAGCAGTAACACACTGACAGCAGCCTGAACATTCTCATGGAAAATTGGGTGGAATCAGGAAAAAAATGAATAAAATACAGATGTTGGACAAGCTCTATGTTATAAAAATGAAACTGGTTGCTTTGACCAAACACCCTGACTTGGCTCTCACCAGCAGGGCAGCACCAGCTCAAGCCCTGGACACAAGAAATAAATCCTCTTCTGAATAACCACCCACAACTACCTGAGGATGGGGATGTCAGAGTGATTTAAAAAAGGCTCCAGCTGTTTGTACAATTCCATAAACTCAAGCACCAGCAGCACAGAACTGCACACACAGAGCAGCCATTCCCTGTAAGCTGTGGAGTCACAAGAGCCCCAGCCAGGAGGGCTCTGCCTCCCTGACTCCAGCACAGCATTTGGGCTCACAGGAGGAGCTGAAAGGGGAACAGCTTCAGTGAATACACAATTTCCTGCCAGATCTGACACCACATCACCACACAGGTGTAAATGCCAGGCTGCTGCTTCTCCCTCTTCCAACAAGCTGAGAACAACTGCACACAGCAAGGAATCCCACAAAACAAAATCAGAAAGTTTGTGTTTCTCTATTTACCTGGTAAACAAGCTGAGAACAACTGCACACAGCAAGGGATCCCACAAAACAAAATCAAAAAAGTTTGTGTTTCTCTATTTACCTGGTAAATGACATCTTGAAAAAGAACTGGAAAAGTGAGTGCAGCATCTTCTAATTCATTTAGACTACAGTGCACTAATGTTTCATCCTAGAGAAAAAGTTACATAAAAGAAAGAAAAGAGTGTGAAAAAACAATGTGGAAAATAGAAGTAGTTTTCTGCATTTTTTGTTCATTTTAAAGCAGGTTTATTTAGAATGGAAATTGGACTTTCATGCAAGCGCTGTCAAGATTGAAGAAAATTCTAAGGATGAATTAAACATTTCATTATTCTTGTAATTTTTTAAAATTTTCAGTAAAACTGTGTGCTGGGGGTGTAGTTATAAACAGACATTTTATTTTTCAGAGACATTTATCTCTCATTCAGTTCCAGCCTGTATCTTTCAGTGTGAACAATCCACCCATCCCTGTGATCACAGGGATGCTGCTCAAAAAAACCACACCACCATTAACAGGGCCTGAAACAACCTTTAAAACAGAGACACTGAAACAAACCATCATAAAGACAAATATATCATACAGAGTACTTCAAAAAGTGGATTTGTGCCCCTTAAGAATGTTCTAAAAAGTAAAAGTTTAATTTTTCATCAGTGTTGATGAAAGGCACTTGTAACAGAATTTTCCTATTTATTCCATCTCATTTTTCCCATCCTGGATTTAGGGAGGCTTTATGGGGACAGATAAATGTTTGAGATGTTAAAACTGTAATGCCTTCCTTTTTTAAAAAAAGCAGGATGTAAGTATTTGACAAACGCAGCTCACATTCTATTCCTACCACAATTAATTCTTTTTCAACTATTTTTAACTAAAATTATGCAACATTCAGCAGTCTTTGTTTAAAGCAAGCATAACTGATTTCCACAATGAACAAAATAAGGGAAATGCTCCATTCCCCTGCTCTGGTTCGTGTTTATAAAGGTATTTACCAAGTCTAGAACTAATGAGAACTCTGGTGTGCTTCTGGTTTTCAGTGGGAGAGCTGGTTTCCTGTTCAGCTGCTCTTCTGTTAGTGGGGGGACATGTTTGATGAAATAGTATCTGAAAAGAAAACAGATTTTGCTGTAAAAATGTACACTATTGAACTGCAATGTTGTAGCCCAACTTAATATTTGAAATATTTAAGGTACCAGAAGTAAGTATTTTAAATTGAAATAAACCCCACATGAGCATACACATTTTTTTTTAATTTAAGCTCAGAGCTTTTGGAGTTCGTTATCATAACATGAAAATGATCCAATTTAAACAGAAGTATCTTAATTCAACACCCCAAATGATGAATTTACTATTTCCAGCAGAAACACTGGCACTTACGGATCAAAGACTTCCCAGTCCTCTTCATAGGTGGCTTCTGCATGAGCTGATGAGTAGCCACTGTCTGGAGATACTGGTGCTGAAATTCAACGAAAATGACCAAAACAAAAAATAAAACAAAAAACCACAAGAGCTGGTCTTATTAGTGCAGTTCTTTAAAGTGACATTTGCACTCGAGACTCGGGGCAGGAAAAGAGGGGCACAGTGTCCCTGCAGCCCCTGCTCAGAGGTCACATCCACCCTAATGCAAAGCTGCTCATCCAGGACAGCCTGGAGGCTCTGGGGAGGGTCCAGCTCAGGATCTGGTGCTGCCCATGCACACAGAAGCTGAACTTTTGTCAAAAAAAAGATGTTGTCTTCTGAAGATAATATGGAAAATGAATGGAGGATCTGTGTGTTTCTCATTTACCACGTGCTTCTAATGCAAGACATCAAAATGTAGCAAACATCTTTGGAGATCAGCAAGTCCAGAGTGTGCAAGTTCAGTGTTAATAGCAATTCCTTTCCTCTGGAATCTCTGCTTCCACGGGAAGAAGAGTTACGAGGCCACCTGAGTTACAGCAGGAACAGCTAAGTCCTGCCAAAACTGTGTCTTTGGTGCCCAAACCAGATCTGCCTACCAACCACAAAAATCAGTATTAACACTGTCTGCACGCTCCAAGGTGGACTGAGAGCCGCTGCTGAGGCGCTGGATTCCCTGGGATCAGCCCTTCCCTGTCCTGTGGTACAGGCACTGTCCCTGTCCCTGTCCCTTACCCAGGGACAGGTGGGACACGAGTCCCTGCTGAGGCGCTGTGCCCCCAGGAACCCTGTGTTCCCCCAGCATCACTGTGTCCCCCAGGACCANATCCCGGCACGGCTCGCGCGGGTTTACCCACACCGGGGCGCCAGGCTCCCCTTCCCTCTGTCCTGTAACATGAACAGAGGAAAGCTGGAATTGTTCATCTCTTCACTGCCCGCTCCCAGCTTCTGTGACAAGCCCAGGAAGTGGAAAAGGAGGATAGATTTTGTCTGAAGATAATAAATTTAAAACGTGTCTTTCATAAAGCAAACCAATGATCTCTGTATACGCCTGTACAAATCACACACGTGTCTAGGAAAAACACAAAGGAAAAATAGAGACATCCAAATTTATCATCCTTTTCCCATTCTTCTCCGTTTTCCAGACAATATAAATAATAACAGACGACTCCAACAATGTCAATGCTCAAATAAGCGATATCCTCACCAAATCTTCAGTTTCACAGCCTCAGGGTGCTGTGGAGATAATCACAAAATTGCCAGGAACTTTGCAGTAATTTGGAATACGTTAATATTGGAATATGTAATTTGGAATTCTAAGGATTTACACAGAACAGTTAAATTTTTCCTTGACAGTAAAACACAGACACGACTTCTTCCACTTCAAGGCTGAAAACTGACAGGAGCAATGTCTTGACTTACAGAAACATGAGGCTCAGTAAAGGATGAGATCAGCTAAAAATCATGAGAACAGAATCCAGAGCATTAAGTATTTAATTAAATCTTTGTGCTTCTGTAGACTAGAAACGATTGCAGAAGAAACAGAAATCCATAGCACAGGGCTTCTCTTCCCATCGGTATTTTACAAGATTGGGCCCCATCAGTACCAATGACATTTTTTTAAGTACCAAGAACAAAATCTCCTCCTCCTCGGCGGGTCCCTGCTGCCCCGGAGCTCGGCGATTTCCAGCGGCCCTGGGGCTGGCAGGGCAGGGCAGGGCAGGGACGGTGCTGGCAGGGCTCCTGTCACCCCGCCAGGCTCGGTTCCACATTTCAGGGCTCTTCCCGACCCCATCCGTGCCTTCGCCGACGCCTCCCGCTGGCAGCAGGGTGCTTTGGTGGATTCCCACTCCAGCCCGGGCACATTGAGCCTGCCTGCCACATCCACAGCAATGGAATTGCCAGGTGGGGTCAATCCGAGGTGGGGCAAGCAGGAACACCGAGGCTGGGAAAGCAGAGGCCTGACCAGGCACTGCCACCGAAGGGCTGGGAGGCGTGACATGGAACAGAATCCACAGGGACATGGAAAACAGGCCACCAAAACCTGGCACAGACCACAGAGGAAATCATTCAGAACTTTGGAAATAGGATGGGGTGCATTCCACAAGGACAGATCCAGCTGGGGGGCACAAGCCACACTCACACCTGCTGAGCCCCCCAGGCACAGGGAGGGTTTGGGGACACAGCCTGACCCAGAGCTGGGCACAGGAACAGGGAACTCCCCCTCGAGATGAACAGGACAGAAGTAAAACCTGTGGATGAAAACTCTGCCCCACAGCAGGGAAGTTAGCAGGCAGCAGAGGCACTGTGCAGAGTTCAGCGATGAACACCAGGCTGGCAGCACAGGAAAATATGAATATTTAATATGTTTACCAAGCACCTCTGTCAGTCCCGTTGTGCGCCGCTGCAGAAGCACATCCCCTCCTTCACATTCGGGCTTCCCTCGCGGGTCTGATGGGCACAGCACACAC